AAAAAAAAAAAAAAAAAGGGAGTCTGCCAGAAAGTTACAGATGGAAAAAAAAAAACAAGGCCTTATGATCACCACCATGGCTCAAATGTAACTAGTCTGGGTGGGAGGTACAGTTCAGGCAGTTCACTTCCACCCTTGATTGTCCCACAGCCAAGTCGTACCGAATGGAGACGAATCAGATGACACACATCATAGAGGTTGGGAGAGAGCAGCATTGATTGCTCCCCCATCTGGCTCCCTTTTTACAAGTATCTTATCACCCACCAACAGTAGTAAAGATTATTGTTACACAACGATATCAGATTCGGACTTTGAATCCACGAGCGCCTGAGGTTGGCCATACAGAATTTTCCATCCACCCTCTCTCCCCCGGCCACCAAGAAGCGTCTACTTGGAGCGAACAGACTTGAGAAAGCTGGCGTCTAGATGCAGAGCATCTGCATGGGGATGGCTTTTGCGACAAAACTTGTGCGCTTATCGTTCTCTTCCCTCTTCCGATCGAATCAGAATCAGAATCAAAATCAGAATCTCTTTTTCCCCTCCCTCTTCTTATATTCACTTACACAAATCTATATATCGCGGCTTATTATCGCCACCTTCAAATGGTGTTGGGGTTGTCTGGCATCGGGATCGTCCCAACTTGTCGGCACTTCTGATTCTCTGACAGGCAGTTGCAGGCTTCATGTCAGCCTGTCTCTGACTGTCAGAGAATCAGAATCAGAATCTCTTTTTCCGTCTGGATTTGAACTCAGGTCCCAGCAATTCTGATTCTCTGAGAGGCAGTTACAGGCTTCATATCAGCCTGTCGCTGACTGTCAGAGAATCAGAATCAGAATCTCTTTTTCCATCTGGATTTGAACTCAGGTCTCAGCAATTCTGATTCTCTGACAGGCATTTGCAAGCTTCGTGTCAGCCTGTCACTAACTGTCACAGAATCAGACTCAGAATCTCTTTTTCCATCTGGATTTGAACTCAGGTCTGAATTTCAGCAGTCTATGGGTGTACCAACTGAGAATCAGAATCAGATAGCCATGAGGCAAAAATCAGGTACGCAGCTGTACACCATTCATTTCATTCATTAATCTGCCAGTCCACCCGAAGAAGAGTACAGCTCTTACCGGTTCACGGATACGAGCTTTTCTATCCAGGCCTGGGACGGTCACTAAAGCGGCAGTCCACGTTGAAAAAGGCGCACCTGCAGGCTCCCGAGCCCTGCACGGTAGCTTCATCAATTTATGCTCATTTGAAGCGGTCGTTTGATCAAGACTCTTTGTGGCTCACAGCGGAGGTTCAGTTTGTGGTTCCGAATGGCAGCCAGTCCAGAAACTGGCACCAGTGGAGGCCTTCTACACTGCCACCGCTGGAGGCTTTGAAAACTTGACACAAAACTTGAAGCAAAACTTGGGGAAGCAAAACTTGAAGTAGAAGAACATCCTGAAGGAGCTTGAAGACGTCCGTGAGACCGAACAACTTGGAAGGTACACAGATGCGGTCCCGAGGGGGAGGATCCGGATGACGAGGAGTCTCCTTCAAAGCGCACAAACTTGAATGTACTACTATAAGATTATTGCAACTGGAATGCCGCCTTTGTGGTGATCATGGAGGGGAAATAGATATCCCTCCAATCATTTGCCTCACAGAAGTTGACATGCACTTTCCTAATCGAGCAACTATCCTACAATTCCTGGTCCTCCTCCTCCTCCCCCTCCCCTCCCCCCTTTTCCTTTTTTTGTAAGACCTGATGGTCTTTTAGGTCCATGCCATCCTGCCCTTCCTGATGGAATCCCAAGCTCTGAGTAAACGAATATCCCATCGGTGCCAAATTGGCTGACTTCGGTGTTCAAATGGAACCCTACAAGAGGGTATCATTACTTTGAATCCCCTTTTCCGAGACACTTCAAGAAGAAACGTACGCACTTCTTCTTCTTCTTCTTCTTCTTCTTGATCCATAGCCTGAAGTTGATTGATGGGGAATGGATAAGGGTTTGAACTGCAGTTTAACTGATGAGACGACTGTGACACCAAGGCCATATCCGACCATAACCGCAAAGCTCTTTTCCGACTGAATTTTATTCGATCACTGTTCGGCACAGAGAGGCTCTCTCTCTCCATATCCTGGCGCACAGCAGACAACAGTGCTCTCATGAAGTTGCTGTCTTTTGCATTCGCATTGTTCACTTCTGATAGTTTACTATCCAACAGAATCGGAGAGCGATTCTTCATTTTCCTTCGACGCAACTGCAAACTCGTGACCGTTGATGGGCAACTGCCGGCTGCGCTTTTCACACAAGAGACGGCCGATGGAGATGTCTGTGACAGATCCACTCTTCTCTGCTGGCGAGCCGCGCTCTTGCTGCCATTCTTCTCCTCCTCCTCTCTCAGATTATCTCCCGAATCTCTGTGAATGTTCCTTAACAAAACTTCATTTCCTAAGAATTGCCGCATTCCAAATTTCTGTCGTTTGGTAACTTCTAGAGTGTTCATCGCCGAGCTCCGTGCTTGCTCAGAGCGCCCCGGAACGGTCTCCGTTCCGCAGACGCGGCCGCGCTCCTGAGGCCGCTCCTTGTCGGCCGCATCCGGATCCTCCCCTCCATTGCCAGACCTTTCGGCAGAAGAAATCGGGTGGAGGGGAGTCGCATGTGGCCCCCGTGGGGCTTGGACATGGCCACTGGGTTTTCTTCCCCCGTTGCGGTCGATCTGCTTTCGGAACTGGTGGACCGGTTGCCGCCATTGCTCGCATTCATTCAACTTGTCCGCTCTTGCCACCATGCCGCCGATCGAATCGGCGGCGAGCAGGTGCTGATCCTGAAGACTGTCCACTTCCTGCATCACTCCGTCGTCAGATGGGATGATGCCGACCAACGAAAACATATCGCTGAGCATTCTCTTCTTCACTGACTCGGAAAGCGAACCACGTTTCGATTTAGTCGAAGGCGTCGCATTGACTTCCATTAACCAGACCTTCAAAGTGTCATCAATCAGAAAATCAAAGCCTAGAAGCTGGTAGCAGCATCCGACAGGAATCCGCATGCGAGAGCCTTTGAGCCGTAGATTTGGACCAGCTGCAGCGAATGTCAGTCTCACAGCATCTTCCATCTGCCGCCAAACGAATGCAAATGCATCACCTCGTTTACCATTACCACGATCTGTTTTCCTCTTGTTCTTCTCATTTTCATTGGTTCTATCATCCCCATTTCCCTCCACATACTCCTCCTCCTCCTCCTCCTCCTCCTCCTCCTCCTCCTCCTTGTTGTTCTCGCCCTCTTCGTGATGATGACGGTGAACAACAAAACCACCTGGAGCAGCTGTGGCAGGAGCAGGACCACTCCCAGGAGTGGGAACTTCCATAGGGGTGGGATCAACCTCGGGAATGGGACCCTCTGCAGGAGCGGGATCAGCACCGGTAGCACGACCAGGAGCAGGACCGGGAGCACGACCAGGAGCAAGACTGGGACCAGGAGCGGCACAAGGAGTATGACAAACCTCAGGAGTGAAACCTAGAGCAGGGGTGGGATCAGCACCAGGAGCAGGACCTGGCGGTCCGAGAGTGGGACAAACCTCAGGAGCAAGACCTACTGCAGGAATGCGATCAGCACCAGGTGGAGGACCGGCATCAGGGGTGGGATAAGCCTGAGAAGTGGGACCAGCACTGGGAGCAGGACCGGCAGCAGCCCTTGGACAAGCAACAGCCGCAGCAGGAGCAGTAGCAGCCTGAGCTTGTCTTCCTCGGAGGATTGTGCAATGGTTCGAGTTTAGATACTCCCTCAGCTGATCAATGTTCCAAGCATCTGCATCGCTATTGAGCGCTGCATTTGTTAGCATGGACTGTTTCCACGAAAGTGCCATCTTCACGGCGTCAGCTTCCGGTTGTGTCAACCCATCATATGGCTCTGAGCTGAAAAGGATGAGTCCATCTTCATACAAATACACGCGAAGAGGTACGACAGAAGTCACTACTGCCCACAACCTCACCCCAAACTTATGACCATTGATCAGCAGAGGATTTGGAATCAATCTCTGCGCTATCTTCCAGTTTGTGCCGTCTCCCAACGCCGCCGCTGCAGTCTCTTTCATCACAAGAGTAATACCAGCACCAAGATGCTGATCCGTTTTAAGCAGCCACTGCGTGTTCGGCTCTCTATCCATTTCCTCTTCCCACAGTGTCCGCTCTTCTGGAAGAACGAAAGACTCCGGTATAATCCTCTCCCCTCCCCCTTCAGATCTACAACTCCCTCCTCCATCTCCACCGGCCCCATAGTCTTTTCGTTCCCACTTCAGACCTCCTCTTCCCTCCTGTCCTTTTGTCACTCGTACGCCTCTTCCTTCTTCTGCTCCGCTTCCTTCTCCCTCCCGTCTCCCTATTTCTCTGCCTGCCTCTTGTTGTCCTCCATTTGCTTCTCTCTCTCCTCCGAGCTTCCCTCCTACCTCCTCTTCAACTTGCTCTCCTTCATACCTCCCCTCTTCTCCACTTTCTCCTTCTTCATGTCCTCTTCCTCCTCCCTCCGCGTTCTGTTTCCATCCTCCCTCTTGTCTCCCTCCCTCCCTCTCTCTCTCTCCCCCTCCCTCTCCCCCTGCCTCTCCCTTTCCTTCTCGCTTGCCGCCTTCACCCCATTTGCCACACCGTCCTCCTTGACGCTTCACATTTACCGCTGATTTTTCCTCGACTTGCGTTGAGAACCCTCTAATCAACTTCGCCAGCTGACTCTTAGAGGTTATCGCATTCATTCCAGGGATGCAGTTGACCATTAGCTTGTCCCTGTGAGCATTTGCCCTGGACCCGAGCCCATCGAGCGCTTGAGAACAGGCCGCGTTTGCGCTCCAGAGAAAATCCCAGTGGTCATCCGGTGCCTCATGACCCAGGAGATTACTGCTACGGACCCGGGGCTCATTATTATTATGACGAACTCGATGGCTGACGTCTTTCAGACCCACTTGGAGAAGTACCTCTCGCACCAACCTTGTCTCATTTACTTTGAAACGCTGATCGTCGATCCAGAACCGCTTTCCGCGGCGCTCGTGAGCACACAAGAATGAATCCTCTGACTGCGAGATTCCCTTGAACACTGCCACTTTATTATTATCATCCTTCAAAGCATTCATAAACACCCTGTTGGCCGACAACGAAGACACCAACCCTGGCCCGAAACGCTTCCGACGATCCCCTGGCAAAATGTATGACGCACGAATGTGCATCGGAAAGGATGCGCAAGCATTTCCAGCGGCCAGTGTCACTCCAGGCAAGGGCACGGTTAGCATGGCAAAGAACAGCAGAGCTACGATGGTCATCGTGTTAAAGGAAGGTCTGCCATGCAGAGTCAAACAGCAAGGCACACATGCAGCAGTACCTCTCAATCTTGTCATCATCACCCACAGATGGATTGCCCACCCACCAAGCTGGCCGGTAAATGGGCCACCAAACTGCCACCCTGTGCGCCAAAGACCCCACCAAACTGGCCACCTAATCGGCCACCAAACGCCAACCAACCAACTGGCCAACAAAGTGACCAAACTGGCAAACAAAACTTTCCGCCAAACTGGCCAACAAAACTTTTCGCCAAACTGGTCACCAAATCCGCCACCACATTTGCCACAAGTTGGCAACAAATTGGCCACCAAATTAGCCACCAAATTAGCCACCAAACCAGCCACCAAATGGACCAAACTGGCCAATAACTGCCGCTAAACTGGCCACTCAAGTGCCCACCAAACTGCCCAACAAACTGCCCACCAAATTGGCCACCAAATTAGCCACCAAACGGGCCTCCAAACTGGCCGCCAAAGGGACCAAACTGGCCAATAACTTCCACTAAACTGGTCACCAAGCTGGCCAGCCAAGTGCCCGCCAAACTGGCCACGAAACTAGCCACCAAATGGGCCACCACATGGGCCACCAAATGGGCCACCGAACTGGCCACCAAAGTGACCAAACTGGCCAATAACTGCCACTCAACTGGGCACCAAACTGCCCACCAAACTGCCCACCAAATGTGCCACCAAATTAGCCACCAAGAGGGCCCACGGAACCAGCCACCAAAGGGACCAAACTAGCCACCAAACCGGCCGCCAAACTGGCCACCAAATTGGCCACCAACGGGGCACCAAAGGGGCCACCAAAGTGACCAAACTGGCCAACAAAGCTGGCCAATATTGCTGCCCGCCAAACTGCCTACCAATTTTCCCTCCAAACTACCCGGCAAACTCGCACGCAAATGGGCCACCAGCAAGAGACAGAAATGTCCAGCAAATCGGTCATCAAGCAGGCTATCAAACAGGCCATCGAACTGCCCCCCACCAAACTGCAGCTTAGGTCCCACCGACCAGCAAACTCTGGCCAAAGTAAGGAGTGACGCAGTTTCACTTTCCCATTTTGGCATTCCGTTGCCCTATCGATCTGTATTGCGCCACAAGTCAGAAGACAGACCATCACTCTTTCTGTCCATCCCCTCATACCTTTGGCATCATTATATACGACGCTCATTCAGCAAACGGTACCTTTCACTTGGAATCCACTTGGAACAAAAGCGCAGCGCAATTTATCGTCATATCAAAAACAGCATGTCTTTCTTCTTTAATGGCCATCTGTCTCTCTCTTTCTTCTTCCATGGCCATCTGTCTCTCTCTTTCTTCTTCCATGGTCATCTGTATCGCCATTCACTAGTAGGTTAGGATAGCCAACTATTGCTGAACTTGGCAGCATACACCGAGCCCCTATATAAATGCCAAAGGAACGCACCATCCCTGCATTGCTTGTCCTCTTCTCCCTTTCTGCCTACGGTTCACTAGGAAGTCCTATATGATGACTATATGAGTCTATATATATATCTATATATATCGTCACAAACAGAACTGCCCGGTAAACCGTAGGCAGAGAGAGAGAAGAGGACAACAAACGAGGGGCTGTGACAAACTGTTTCGTCGGAGTTTCACCGACTCATCAGGAGGCTGAACCCTCAACAGYCTGCAGAATCCCCTCACTGATTACACTGTAAATGATAATCTACCTTAACCAAAATCAAAGTAGACTATCACTCACCCACACCAGATGGAAAACTCTACAGACTGTCGGTTCACACCCCATCACAAGCCAGCAAAACATCCACGAAACATATATATGACGATATATATATATATATCGTCAAACACGAGTGGGTGAAACTCTGTCAACACAGTGTATCAAAACCCCTCGTTTGTTGTCCTCTTCTCCCTCTCTGTATACGTTTTACCAGGCAGTTCTGTTTGACGATATATATCGTCACAAAGATGTCAGAGCACAAAAGCGAAAAAAACCAAAAAAAATCGATTCATTTTTTATCTTCTTACTTACAACTCCCCCTGTTCAAAACCTCTTGCGTACAAGGCCGACCACGTGGATGTAGGTTGAGCAGCGGCTGCCCCCCCCCCCGTGTGTCAGATTGACCCACTTGCACACAGCCAAAAGGCAAAGAGGCAAAGAAAGAGGAAGGAAACAGCCAATATAACAAAACAAGGGGAATTGACAATATATACATACATATATAGCCCCTCGTTTGTTGTCCTCTTCTCCCTCCCTCTCTGCCTACGGTTTACCGGGCAGCTCTCTGTAAAAGAGGACAGCAAACGAGGGAGGGAGGGGCTGTGACAAACTGTTTCGTCCGAGTTTCACCTAGTACCGCCTCATCAGGAGGCTGAAATATTGTCAAACAGAGCTGCCCGGTTAACCGTAGGCAGAGAGGGACAACAAACGAGGGGCTGTGACAAACTGTTTCGTCGGAGTTTCACCGACTCATCAGGAGGCTGAACCCTCAACAGTCTGCAGAATCCCATATAACTGATTACACTGTAAGTGATAATCCACCTTAACCCCGGTTGTGCTTAAGCATCAACGACTGCCCAACAACTGATACCCTGAGAAAGGTGGGCACCACCGACCACTTCCCTCCAGGTACCTGTGACGAAGATCAAAGCAGACTATCACTCACCCACACCAGATGCAAAACTCTACAGACTGTCGGTTCACACGCCATTTATATATTTATACTAGATGACCCGTTGCCGCTTCGCCCGCAAAAACAGCCAAGAAAAAAAGCTCAAAAGAAAGGAAAAACATAAGGAACTGCCCTTTCATTTGCCGCTTCTTTCACAATAAGAAAAAGAAGAGCCTCAGAGCAGACGAAACCCCTCGTGTTCCTCCCTCCCCCCCCCCCAAAAAAAAAAAAAAAACCGCGTGCAAGAAAATAGACGGGAATACCACCGAACCTTTTTTTCCCTTGTATCTTTGAGTCTTTCGTTTGGGGTGCCGTTACCTTTGCAGCATCGTTTTTGTTTTGTGATGTGCAAGAACTCTCAACGTTTGTGAGAAAATCTTGTCCGTTAAATCTTGTCCGTAAAATCCTGTCCGTTGTCCCGTTGATGTTTTTGAGAACGATTCCGATTCAGAACTCTGTGTGCTGTGTTCTCTGAATATATGTTTGAGCCCAAGGGATCTTGCATGTATGCCCCGTGCTTACTTGATGAGTTTTGACGCTATGAGTGCAAGTGCATGCGCGTGAGGGTGAGTCTCAGTTTGGTGGGCTCGGATGATGGCATTGATGACTGGGCCGGGGAAGTTGTAGGAAGTCGCCTCCAAATATAGGAGTGCCAGCCACTGATGTTAAGCAGGTTCTGCATTGTATGAATGAAAAAATCAGCATTCAATCTGTGCTTGGCAGTGACTTTTCGCCCGGGGGACTGGTCGGGAGTAGCATTGACATGGGAGCTGTAATGCTGGCCGTGCATCTTGGAACATTTCCTGGAAGGCAAAAGGCAAAGAAGAAACGAAGTACCACGTGTCAGAGTCAAATAATGGACAGCTTGGCACAGTCCCCCCCCTTCTCTCTCTCTCTCTCTCTCTCTCTCTCTCTCTCTCTCTCTCTCTCTCTCTCTCTCTCTCTCTCTCTCTCTCTCTCTCTCTCTCTCTCTCTTTCTTTCTCTCTCTCTCTCGTCCCACTGCTGACTTTCCTGTAACCGTCCTCCCTTCCCCGCCCCTATCTCTCTCACACGCAAAAAAAGGTCGACTCCCCCTAATCCTCCTCCCTTCCCCCGCGCCTCTCTCTCTCTCTCTCTCTCTCTCTCTCCACCTTCGCCTGACCTCTTCCCTCGCTCCGTACCCCACCCAACCTCTGCACTCCCTCCTCCTTCCATCTGCCCTCCCTCCGCCCGACTTCACCCTGCCGTCTTTCCCCTTTCTCCCGACCTCCTTCCACTTCCTCCTCTTCCTCGTCACGCTTTTTCCCACACTCGTCTCCTCCTTACCTCTTCCCTTCCTCGATACGTCACTCGACCTCTAAACTACCTTCCGCTTTCTGTCCTTCCTCAGCCCTACTTCTCCCTGCCGCCTCCCTTTTCTCCCAGCCTCCTCTGGACCTTCTCTTAAAACCTCCCTCTGCCCTCCCTTCGCCTGGCCACCTCACTCCCCTTCCTTCGCCCAATCTCCGCCTGACCTCCTTCCCTCTCTCTCCTCCTTCCTACTCCTTCCTCCGCCCGGTTTGCACCGACCTCCTCCTTCCCCCAATCTCCTTCCTCCCCTTCCTTCCTTGGCCCGATCTCCACCTGACCTCATGCTTCCGCCCTACTCTCTGCCGCCTTTCCCCCCTGCCTACAGGCCTCCTCCGCACCTTCTCTTCAACATCCCTCTGGCCAACGTCCGCCTGGCCGCCTCATTCCCCTTCATCGCCCCCTTCGTTCGCCTGATCTCTATCTGACCCCTCCTTGCCCCGATCTCCTTCCTCCCCTTCCTTCCTCAGCCCGATCACCACCTGACCTCCTCCTCCCATTCCTCCCTCCGTACTACTCCCTACCTCCCCCTTCCTCCCTCGAACGGCCGCCCTTCCTTCGTCACGCCCGACCTAAGAAGTGCTTCTTTTTCTTTATCCGGTGGAAGTAAACGCTCCATTTGTTATCAAGATCGCTCCATTTCTTGTAAGATCTCCACACGGTTGCACACGGGCAAGAAGGAGAGAGGGAAAGCAGGAGAGAGAAAAATGCATTTCACCTAACACACTTCCTCTTCGCGCTCTTCCTTCCTCGCACCTTCTTTGTCCCTCCCTTGTCTGTCTCCTCCACCACCAAACGTACATCTTCTGCCCCGTCAAGATCTCCCTCCGCAACATTCTCCCCCGGTCTTTTCTCTTTGGAGCGGCCTTATGATTAACTGCCCTGTGCCAGGTATTTCAGGCTATCGATATTTCTTTCCATATTTCACTCTCTTCCTCCC